TCATCGACTTTAGTAACCCAAGACTCCTCATGGCGCTTCCCAAATACCCGTTTCCAGCACGAATTACAAAATAACGTGAATACGGGGCTTCTTCAAACACTCCGCTCACCACCCTCAGTTTTCCACTAGCATTTCTAGCCAAAAAGCCTCCTAGGATAGATTAAAAACACTTCCGCAGAACAAACCAACAGTCAATCTACATCGCGAAATTTCCATTCAACAATCGGAAAGAGTATTTATTTCAGATTACAAGCGGTTACAATTAAGAAGTAATAAACGAACACGGCATACACGCAGAAACGAGGAATTGCTCAAAGGAGCGTTGCCAATGGCAACAGAGGGTGGCTTCGAATTGGTGCAATTTTGCGTAAGCACAATATCTGGTAGCTGAGAATTCATCAAGAGAAAGGAAATATTCGAATGACTTAGTGTACACCACAAACTGTGTATAAAGTTATATCACAGACCCGTGACATCTACAGCTGTCACTAACAATACAACATTTGCAAACGATTATTAGGGTATAAGTAATAATAAATGAAAAATCTTGTTTAAGATCGTGGAATGAAGAAAAAAACCTCGACTATTTCTAAGAAGTTGAGCAGAAAATGAGTTCATATGCTTTACACTGAATCCTCTTCGCGCTACCTGCTGAAAAATTAGATTTTCGCAGCACTACCGCACTAGAGATAGTTTTTGACTAACGACTCAGGGAAAAGTGAAACGGTCCTCACTTTTTCTTCTGCTGCCCTCCAGCAATCGCTTTCTTCTTCGGCTTCGGAGCACCCCCACCGAAAAGATTTGCCATCATTTCGCTCACGTCTGGCATGTCCATCTGAAAAGATCATCAGAAAATTGCCAGAATCGAGAGCAATCTTCTATTGATTCTTATCGCCCCAACAATCAGTCGAGACGACCAATAAGTTGAAAGACGGTCACGTCCCTGATTTGGTGGGGTCGCGACAGGTGCGCGATAGTCAAGGAGGCTCAGGCTAGGACTTCTTCAAAAGCTTAGGCTGCTACGAGCAAGCAAGAGTTCCAATCAGAGGTGATCTACAAACTCAATCGGACTTGGTCCCCAATAGGCTCCAGATGCGCAGAAAGGCCTCATTCCAACTGAATGAGCAATTTCACCATAAATAAGACGGTTATAACTAGTAGACTGTATTGTACAGAGGAATAAAATTTTTAATTTCAACAGCTATTGATATTTGCTCAACAGGCTAACCGATTCGATAACTTCAACCACATTCAAGACATTGGTCCCACTATCCAATGGTAGATAATCTCTCAATGGGTTTCCAATTTCTTATCGCAAAGATCGCAGACTTTTTATAGGCACTCAAAAATTAAAGCGATAAAATCTATCATTGCAGCCATTCCAGCGTTTCTAGGCCTAGATGAACAACGGTCGAGGGAATCATCGATTAGGCTCTATACTGAGCGGGAGTAGTGCCGAGAATGTTTAGTACGCGCGGAGAGCACAGACGGCTCGAGCATGAGAGTGTTGGGTCTACGCGAATAGCGTAACTAGCCCAGGCGCGAAATCCAACGCGGCAGTAAGCAATCCTCGCACCGATATTCACCTTGATTCCAACACCCCTTTCCCTCGCGAGATTAAGGCACGCAATAATGTGAATGCGCTCGAGAAAGCTGCCTGCACATATCCATCAGTTCCGGGACCAGATTGGAGTGATTTCTGTTCTTTTCTCTGAAAAGCAAACCCCGGGATTAGGGCGGCTAACAGGAACCGCGCCGCAATTAAACTTGTTGGATCCGTAACTACAGAGATAGTACCACCTTCGTCGCAAAAATGCGTGGTTAGGGCGCTAATTGTTAAGGACTCGCAATCATCGCAACGCTCCCACCCACCGCGACTGATGTGGAGATCAGTATGGTCTCTCGCGTGTCCGTTGATCTGTTCCTTGGCCGTACCGCATTCGACCTTACTTCGGTTTTTCAAAGATAAGGAGCTTAGCGTATTCGATGATTTCGACTGTTTTCTTTTCCACTTATTTTACTCCGCAGCTCAAATCTCGCTACGAAACGCTCTGATATACCAATTCAAGCCAGGAGTTTACCTTTAAACGAGATGATGGAACAACAACCTTCCTTGAAAGGTATTGTACACTAATAAAAGAAGTCTGAAAGCGAAAGGTAACTCAAAAATTAGCAAGACGTCGCCAATAATAGCAATGAGGAGCTTTGCCGTAAATGAAAGCACGTTAACATGAAAGTATGAGCAGCACCATTTCAATGTTTAAAGAAGGTGATATGTGAGTTTATGGCCACCACACTAGGTTAGACAATCCAAATCTGATATCTACCCTGAATGATCAACGTGGAACGCACAACATAATTCAAGGGTTGCAAGACTTCCCCACATACCCAGCTAAAGAGCCCTGCAGAACAAAATGCTAAAAGTCTTGTACATTCCTACTAGATAACCAGAAAAGGGGTTGCTTCAATTTTCTAGAAATACATGTGTGGCATCGTATTTACAACAAATTCCCTAGCTGAGAAAAGTCCGAAAATGCAGAGATGATAAAGACACAAACCTTCGGAAGTTGCATTTCAGCCATTTCTTTCTGTAGTTGAGGATCGTTTGCCGTCATTCTGAAAGATTCATTAAAGCTTTCTTGAAAGAGTGTCAAATATCTATACATTTGATCAATAGTTGCAACGTTCACTGCGCGCTCACAGATCCCTGCCTGCGATTTAGCATAATCCCGCATAAACGCTTGCTCAAACAACGCGTTGCACAATGTG